CTCTCTCTCTCTCTTGTTTTTATTTATTTCGTTCTAGTATTTACTTAATTCAATTTATCTGCGACTGATGACATAGTACCAAGATAACAATACTTAAATATTGATACATTAATGAGGGATAAGTTATTCTTTTCTCTGTATTCTATTGAAAGGACGCTGAGATAGCATTATTCCAAGACAAGTAAATTGTAGGGAGAAAATGGCAAGGGGTGGGGAGGGGGAGCCTTCGATCGCAACGAGAATGACAATAAGAAATGTTATTTGCTCGCCTTATTGACTGCCGACGCTTTTAAATCTGATTGGGTCCGTGTTTTGTTTCTTTGATGATATTTATAAAAGTACCCTCTGTTAGTATTATTTTCTAAAAGTACCCGACGTTTTTAAATAAGCTATTCTTTTGTTTTACAATATATTTTTCATCAATTCAATGATATATGAAGTTATTCTTGGAATTATTTTTACTGTGTACATTTCGATGTTGTTTTTCAAAACGTGGGTAATGTAAGTTTTCATTGCCAATATTCTTGTACAAAACAATACTGTTATCTCCATGTTATTATAGAGAATGAAAAGGACGAGAACATATTTTTATAATGTTTTGTTGCAGTGTAAACCGACGGTTACGGTCGTGGTACATTTGATTCAATCAAATAGTCGGTTGTTGAGTACAAGTCAAACTATCGGAGCTCCAGTGATGAAATGCAGAGAAATTCTCGCTGTAACAAGTCTACAGTTCCCAAGTAATATGGAAGTTGACCTCAATCACACCGTTCACATATGTATGGTTGAAATATTTTTATTTACTAGAAAAGGGAGAACGATTATAATATTCACTTTTTAATAAATATAGTAAATAAAAAATAAAACATTATTTTTATCAACCTAAAAGTTTTAATTGGTGTTAATTTCCAACAATTTATAATGCAATAAAATCATTCGAAAAATGTGAAATTTTAACCTATTGGTAAATTATATTTTGAAACTTATCTAGACATAACGAAATCTTAGTTGTTTTTTACGAAAAATGCTGGCATTACGGCTCAATTCACATAATTTTCTTCAATAATATTAATCAGAACAGGATTATTAAAATACGCTTTACCAAACGTTATTGATAATTTTTTTAAAGCGCATTAATCTAATAGTCTTAAAACTTATAATATTTCTTCAACAAATTTTTATTTAAAGGCAAATGTTTGTGGTTACACGACGGTGTGATATACATCCAATAACGTATCGAAGATGACTTCGTCGACATCTTAGAACTATTAATCACGCGGCGAGAAGGCGGTCGTAACTTTGTTGAATGCAACTGTTAGCCAAGTTATTAGTAGAGATGTGTTTACTTAACTACATAACACGATGTTTGTTCAAATATGTTATGCCATATAAAAAAAAAAATTGATATTTATCTATTATCATAAATATGAATTCAATAATTAATTTCAGAGCTTTTTAAATAATTATTTCTTTAAGGTTTCCGCATATCGATCTATCTTCCGTCATCTCGGTCGTCACTCCGATCTTTCACGCACGTATATACATATAACAGACTTTTAAATGAATTTTTATTGTCGACGAAACCTTTACCTTTTTGGAGTCTGATAAAAACTAGAGAAGGTACTTAGGAAACTTAGTAAAGTAAAGCTTATATTCATCTAAGTTATTTAAAAATAATATAAGTAAATAAAACGAACACATTTAAACAATGTTAAGAGTATTCTAGTTATTGAAATGTATGTAACTGTTCCACATGTCTAAATAAATTATTTAAAAAATGTAATCTCTGCTCACCCTTATACGTCATGAACGTAATTTAAACATTATTATTATAATAAATAAAAAAAATCAATTAAAACACCCTATAATTACAGTCTATTTGGAATAGAATTTGTAAGAGCTTTTTATCGCTGTGTTCGAAAGCTTTTCACAATATCTACAAAATTGTGTAAATATTAATTTTCCGCTTTTCAAATTTACTCGACGTCAAATCGTTCGAGAGAATAAATCGAGTAAAATGACAAACTGTTTGGCAACTATGAAAATGTAATTTTCACTTAATAGAGTTTGAAATAGTATTTTTTAACTTCTAATATTTAAAGACAGAAATAACAACAAAACTTTTTTTATCCGCAATGTTAAAACAGATAATTAAACCAATAACTTTCATTAAAAGCATTAATAATCTTAAATTAGTCGACTAAAGATTCATTACAATTTATTTTATTAGTTTAAAAACGTCTAGGGAACAAACATCCTTAGATAGAAGATGAATTGATATTTTTGTGTGAGAACAACAAGAAAACTCACTATTTTTCCTAAATTACCTTTACTAAGATACTAAAAATTAGGTCAAATTGATAAAATAGTAATATTATAAATGGGAAAGTTTAGATGGATGGATGTATGTTAGAGTTTGTAGCCTAAACGGCTGAACAGATTTCGATGAAATTTGGTATAGACGTAGAGGTTAGTCTGGAAGAACACATAGGCTACTTAGTTTTTTTATATTTAATTCCACGCAGACGGACTCACAGGCGAAAGCTAGCGCTGAACTTTAACTATAGATAATAACTGCTAGCTTAACTGTTGCTTAACTATTCCTCTAACTTATTAATGGTAATCAAACTGGAAGCGAAGTTTTCTCGGTGCATTCTGCTCATACAACTTTGATGTATTTTGATATATTTCAGACT